ATGGGAGCAGAATGGTGGTTAATCATGTGTGATTTTGGGTGCCCATCTACGGTAGTCTATTGACCTTAAGTAGGGTTGAGAATGCTTTTCCCTGCCAGTTGAATAAGACTTAAGTTCTAGTGTAAATGGAATTGGTGGTGGGAAGATGAGTGCTATTATCTTGCTTAAGAGGAAACCCTAAGGAGCAATAGGCAATTCTTTCTTAGGTAACTTCTTTCTGACTCTGCTGCCATTCTCCCCGCCACCCCTACATTATAACACAGGGCTGTCAAACTCTTCGCCCGTGAGCTGGATGCCTCACGTGCTGGCCACACCCATACCATTTAGCAAAAGGGGGGAAGTCCAATAGTCACGATGCTGCCATGACGATGTGAGTTTGATACCCCTATTATAACATATGTACCATGGTATTGTGCAAATTATGCAATGGTGTCATTTGTCCCCTTTCCCCTTTGTGATGCTTTCAATCTTTCTCCTCAGAGCCCCAAAATAACAGGACTTAATGACCTTTGTGCGAATCTTGAATCCCAAGTGTTAGCTATATAATGATGCAATTTTGCAGACAGGGAAGATTTTAATGTGTAATACAAATGCAGCCATAAATGAAATAAGCAGCTTATTGAGAAAGGGCAATAGTATAATTCTACACTAACCCTTCCCCCAAAGACCTTGACTATACCAGTTACTTCTTTCTTAAATCAGGTGTGGAGTTTCAGTATAGGTCATTGCAGCAAGGATAATTGGAAAGATCCTTGTAGATGTGTGCAGCAGCTCCTTGTTTTCTTGCTTCACACTGAGCATTTCTCCCCAGTTTTATAGAATGAAGGCAGGAAGTAAATGCCATCCGCTTCTAGGAAATTGCTGCTTTGCCCAAAGACAATATGAAATGTCCTGGGTCTTGGTCAGCACATCCAAAATTATCTAAGGCCTAACCCACTTTTCTAATAGCCTTGGTATTATAAAGTTGTGGTCTGGTTTTTACCAATTTAGAGATTATTACGTAGTTTTGAATTTTATCTATCCAGATCCACCTGGGTAGATTCGATTCATCAAATGCTTAAGAGATAGTAAGTTGCAAGGAATATAATACATGTCCTTTACCAATATTTGGTAGATGTGAAAGGCACGCCTAGGCACTTTAGTTTTTGCATCCAGCCTAGTTTCTGTGGTTTATACTGAATTAGAAAGGGGTTTTAAATGTGGGACAGGTGGGGAAGAAATGTTGTGTCAATTTTACTACAAACATTAGGTTCCTTTCCTACACAAGTGTTGCTCCCAGTTCGGGTCTGAGCCTGGTGCCAAAGCCAGTGATTGACACCAGACACGAGGTGCAGGTTTTCTGGTTGCTTTTGATGGGAGTACTCCAAAGAAAAAGGCTCCTGGTCAAAATGCCAAGAGCCAAGAACAAAGGATTGAGTAAGTTTTATACATTTTCACACAGGGACAAGGTGGGACAAAGCGCAATAATAAGAAATATCATCTAATAAACATTTTAGTAATAATTCTACAATTTGTTCTATTGGTCTCAAGCTGTCTCTATTCCCAAATCCTGGCTAATGAATGCCCTAGAAGTTATCTAATACACATTTGATTTGCTGCAGGCCTAACTTTTAGCTGAGGTCTGCAAGTTGATTAACTTGTGTTACTTTTATCAGCTTTCTAATTAGCCAGATTTACACATGCATATTTCCTGTGGATAAGAATTCTTTGTTCTTGCCAGACATACTCCACAATTAGTCTTCCTGGTTTACTTTGAAGTGTGTGCCATGGCCTGGCTTTATTTTAGCAGATGGCCCATCACATGCACAATGAACACCACAAAAAGGTGGTCAGAAGGGTAAGTAGTTATGACCAGCAATGGCTGCATTGTGCTGTGGTTCCAAAAATGTTCCTCTAAGGAGGGTTTCTCCTAGCTGTACCTCCCTTGGGTACGAAGAACCTTTTAGTTACATTATTATTACAATAAATCCACCTTTCCCAGTTTTGTTTTGTTTTCACTGTTCATTTCTGTTCATTTTGCTCTTTGGATCTTTTGAGGGAGTCGCATACATTAAGATTACACTAAAGGGGAGGTGGGATGGCAAAAAGTTTTTGCAATCCCTGCTTCTTTCCCAAATATGAATGCCTGCAGTAACCGAACACAAGCGCATCTTCAGCAACTAAGGGACCAAAGAGCCGAGAGCGCGGTGAGAAAAACGGGAGAGGAAAATTTCCATAGCCAGAAGTCTTGAGACTCTTTGCCCCGCCCATCACTCACGATCTACGAATCCGAAGCCTTCCGTCCGACGACGCTACTTCCGGCTCAGTGATTCGCTCTTCTCCGGTGCCCAATCGGCGTCCTCGCTTGCACATGCGCAAGAGATCCAGATGACGCTCTAAAAAAAAGGCTCGGAATATAGAAAGGTCGCCAATGGGGGCGGGGCTTTGCAAAATGTCCGGGTGTGTCCGCTTTGGGGTGGGCGTGAAAAAGAGGCTAATCCTCCTTTGGAGTTGTCCGGCGGGCGGGCTTTACCCTTTCTTTAGGCCCTAGGCGGCTCAACTGCGCCCCAAACAAGGTTAGCCCAGAATGTCAGGTTATCTAGCAAGGGAGGGTGCATCTTTGCCAAAAGCTTAGAGGCACAAGGGACGCAAACAGCCACGCCCACCCATTTAGTTGCATTGAGAGGGAGGGCGCGCAACATCTGCACCGAGCCTCTCCATCATACTCACCTCGAGACCCCGCCCCCATTCCTCAAGAGTGATTTTGGGATCTCACGATTGCAACGCCCCCGGTATCCCATTTCCCTCCCTCCCTCCCTCCCAATAAAACTGTTTCGTTTCGATCCTGAATATGAAGACACCGAGCAAGCAGAACGTGAGAAAATGTTTTAAACGATTTATTGAACAACAACAAAAACATGAGGAAATTTTGTATTTTTTTTTAAAAAAGGCATTTGAAGACGAAACCCGAAAAGGACGATACAAAATCTTGCAGGCAAAGGTGAACTGCTTCCCTCCCCGCCCCCAGATTCAACTGGATATTTCAAACCTGCAGTGATTGCGCAAGTCTCCGAGGTAAAATCAGCTACTCTGCTGGTCAACTTGGTCCCATGCAACCACCTCCCCCACCCCACCCCAGCCCTCCAGGCCGCCCATGCATCCAACAGGCTGTTGCTATGGCATCCCAGCCCTTAAAGAGGGGGCAACGGAGACTGCGGGTAGTTCAAACTTCAAAGGAATCCACACCAAGGATGACCCCCCCCTCCCCTGCAGTAAAGGGTGGGGGGCTGATGCCGAAGGACCGAACCTCGCCCAGATATGGAGGTGAAGGGGGGGGGGTTACAACGATATCACGCTACTTTTGCAGAACACAAAAGCAAAAAAGCAAGCTTCAATGGTAACAATATTCCAATAAAAAGGGGGGGGGAAGGGTGTGAGGTGAAGGTACGACACCTTTCCACGATCCAACAAAATGCCCCAATGATCTCGATGGGAATCTGGTGAAAGCGAAGTGCTATATTTTACACCCGCCCGCCTTCCGAGGGAAGAAATGATGCAGCAATGCCCCCCCCCCCCCCCCATATATATATATATATATAATAATCAAAGCTGGAAACATGACTCTGGGCTTCGAGCTTAAAGTCAAGCGTCGTCTCGGGGTTCAAAAGTCTTGGGACGAAAGACAAGGGAGGCGGTATCTTCCCTCCTAGCTGGAGGCCAGCAGTCTCATTTCCTGCCCTTGAGAGCCTTGGGCTTCGCCGATTTTTTCACCTTCTTGGCGCTGGGGGAAGCGATGCTCTTCTTGGGGGCTTTCTTCGCTTTCACCTTCTCTTTCTTGGTGCCCGCGCCGCCCGCGCCTTTCTTGTGCGATTTCTTCTCCAGCTTTTTGCTCTTGGCCACGGGCTTCTTCTCGACCTTTCGCGAAGCGGAGGCCACGACCGCCTTCTTGTGGGATTTGTTGGCGTGGGAGCCGCCGCCGCCACCGCCTCCGGCGCCTCCTTCGCTTCCCCCCTCGAGCTTTTTCCTGTTGAGCTTGAAAGAGCCGTTGGCGCCGGTGCCTTTCACTTGGAGCAAAGTGTCGTTTTGCACCAGCGCCTTGATGGAGTATTTGAGATAGGTCCGCCCGTTTTGCTGGTCGAACCAAGCCACTTTCTTGGCTTCGTTGTAGATTTTGGCCAGCGAGGAGCCATTACGCTCGCCCAGTTTGCGGATGGATTCCACCACTAGCTGGCTGTACTTGCCGGGCTGGTTCTTTTTCTTGTTGTTTTTCTTCTTCTTGGAGGGGGAGAGCGCCGCCGACACGACACCTTTGGCTTTTTTGGCCGCCCCTCTCTTTTCCGGAGCCAGAGGCGCCTCTTCTGTCTCGGTCAGCGGCAGGTCAGCTTCTTCCAGTTCAACAGACATGCTGGGAAAAACGCGCAGGCTTTCAGCCCAAAAGTGTTGGGGAGCGAACGAACGGCTGGCCCTCGGAGCTCTTTTTCCGCAGGGGCTGCTCTCGGTCTGTGGGACGCCGGATGAGCGGAGACAAGAAACAATCAGAGCGACCGGGCACCGCTCTCTTCAACGCCGCCTGAGAAAAGCAATCTGCCTGGGCTGGCTTCGGCACGGCTCTTTATATACGTCAGGAGCGGACCATGTTGAGAACAACAACAGGGAGCGAGAAGGCAAGCTCTGAATTGTGCTTTTTGTGGCCCCTTCGCCGAGCTCTCTTGCACGTGTCCAGGGCCGTAGGGACGAGGTAATGTTGGCATCTGCTGCTCCCGACGGTGCCTCATCCAGCTGCCTGGGTGTCAAAGTTTTCCGGACACAGGAAAGGCTCTTCAGAGGCGATTTTAAAGGCGCACCCTATACTGGAGAAAGACAGAGGATAGGGGCGCCCTATATGGAGGGCTCTGCACCTCCTAGAAAGAGCCCCAGTTCTCGGGGAGCGCATGGCTCAGATAGAAAAGCGGGGCTCGCATGTCTCTGTCCGGTCGGGGGGCGTTGATGAACCTCGGGGGGAGCACTAGCCCTGGGTTAATTTGTTGTAACTAACACACTGGACGCCCTCACGTGGTCGGCTGCAGCAGCACGGAGCCGGCGAGCAGTTTTCAGGGGGGTCCCCGCCTGAATTGGAGGGGCCGTGGCTCAAGGTACTGCGGGGTTCAGAAAGGGCAGGATTTGGCCCGCCGGGGCCCCACCAATGATACCGGCCATCATCCCGTAACTTGAGTGCGGAGCTGATTAGAATCCCTACCCGCATCAAGTCCTGAGGAATGGGGTTTTGGGGCGAGTTCAAAAAACAAACGACGTAGCAGGGAAAGGGATGCTGTCGGTAAAAGTTTAAGGTCAGAAGGGGGTACCGTTCGAAAGCTGCAGTTTACACGCATTGGTGAAACGAGCGACGAGGCAGCTGGAGCCTCTTTTCGAATAGAATTGGGAGAAGCCAAAAGGTAAGCAGGGGCGCAAATTTCTTGCGCCGACTTTGGGATCGGTGACAGGATTGCACCTCCTTTAAAATACTGGAGGCGGAGAGGCTCGAACTGGCAAAAATCTCGGGGGGGGGGGGCGACACACACACGCGTTCAAACGCATTTAACCCGCTCGCTTTTTCAAATCGCGAAAACTTTGGAAAGCAGCGGCGCACGAGGGAACGCAACCAGGGCTCGCCTCTTCCCACCCTCCTTTCGGCTGAAGAAGGGCAGGAAGAGAAGCACCCCTTTAGTCACTGATGGCAAGGGGAGATTGGCGGCGGGAACGTGGGAGAACCGCCGTCGCTTAATGGCGGGGGTGCCCGCACAGTAGAGCCGGATTTCTAGAGCAGGCAACACCTTCCATTCCCCGATTTCAGAGAAAAGAAGGCCGACATTTCTGAGAGCTTCGGGCTACGAGGCCGCCTCTTACTCCCCCCAGAACGATGCCCTCTTCTTGTGCCTAGCAACCGCCTTCCGAGCTACGCATTTTGGAGCGGAAGGAAGGTGGGCGCGGGGAATATTTGTGGTTTTTTTGTGTGATTGTTTGAAATCAGGGCGGGGGGAAAATCCCTGTAGGAGGGAGTGGGCGGGTTGGTTGCTCTATTGCTTTAAAGCCGCTGCAGCTGGAGAACAGAGCTGAAGGGAATAGTAATAATAAAGAAATGTGGTAAAATGTATTATAGCATTAAGTAGAGAGTTACTCTATAGGCATTTGTTATCTTGCCATTGTAAAAAAGATTTCCTTAACCTTTCAATTGTTGTAAAACAATTCTAAACACATGCCTTAAGGAGGCTATTAACAGCATACTTCAAAGGTGTGGATGGAGGTACATTCCCAGAGAGGTAAGTTTCATTCCCAGGGGGTGATGCTGGGGTGAAATGTATCAATCCAGGAAAACTGATGGTTTCAGATTGATTTAGATGGGACAATCGTGTGTCTTAATAGGAGAGGGATGTAACTGATGGCAGACATGCGTTTATAATTGTTTTACAACAATTGAAACAAGTGAAAGGTTAAGGAAATCTTTTTTTACAACAGCAAAATAACAAATGCTTATAGAGTAACTCTCTACTTAATGCTATAATATATTCTACTACATTTCTATATTATTACTGTTCCCTTCAGTGGGGCTCTTCCGGGCGACCTCTTGCATGCTGGGGGGAATGGCTCTGTGTGCCACTTCCGGCACACGTGACGTATGTTCGCCAACACGGGCCTAGGGTTAGACTTGATTTAAATGATGTTCCCTTGGGGGAATGACTAAAAGTAGGGAAATTTCTTTTCTTTTCTTTTTTTGATGATGATAGTGGATCACTTGACTGGATGGGTTGAGGCTTATCCACCCATGAGAGCCAAAATTATACTGGAGCAGATAATACCTAGATAAGGGATAGTAGGAGCTATACACAGCAACTCATTTTTCTGCAAAAGTGCTTCAATCAATCATGGAGTGTGGGAATTCGGTGGGAATGTCACGTTCTGTGGAATGTAAATTCATCTATGCCATGGGCCAACTGTTTACCCTTGGCCTGGCTCAGAATTTGAACCTGTCCAAAAAGGGATATTTTACCTTCTCAAATGATGTTTGGATTACCACACTTGGACAGAATGGGGGAAATCCCACAATGTGAAACTAAAGATATATCTGTAAAGAACTGTATACTTGGCCTCTACTCTTCTTTATCTTACTTCAGAAGCAAAGGACTTCTAGCTCAAACCCTACCTCTCAAATTTGCTGTCCATAAGTTCCAGCCTGGTAACTGGGTCCTGATAAAAGCCCGGGATAGGTCCTACCAAATCTTGCTGACCACTGAAACAGCAGTCCAAACAAAAGAAAAAGGGTGGACCCCAGCTGATGAACTTAAAAGAGTGGAAAGTGTTTCCTGGAGAAGACTGGTTGAGAATAAAAATTACCAAAAGCTGATGTGGTCATGGTAGTATAAATGGGCTTTGTTTGTGATTTTTCTCATTGCAGGAGTACCAACTTTTTGATTTTTCCTACCTGAGTGTCAGCTTATGTTATTCCAGCTGAAGATCCCAAGTGAAGCTGATGGACCAGTAAAAGACTCTTTTCCAATTCATAAAAGACAGCTGGAAAGATTATGGGGGGAGGGTGGAAATTCATTGAAATGTTTTCTTTGTTGTCTTATTTATATTGTAACCAGTTTAATGTACTCATGTAAGGATTGTGTATTTGAGAGTGGTTGCCACAGCAAATTTTGAACACCTTGGTCTTAAACACTTTGGACTTCTGTCTGGTAGGAGGGAAATCTGTCCAACATGTTTGTATTGAAAATTAGCTGCATACACATACACACATATATTCAGAATTAGACAAAATTTCTCCTAGTACCTCCACACAAAGCTGCTCCTAGGTTGATTTTTGCTCTGTGCCACTAAGGCACAAGCAGTCATGTCTCCCTTCATGTTTACCTGCTAATTCCATGGGGGAGGGGCATCCCCTTCAGGCAATGGGTCGGACACGACTTCACAACTAACAATAGAAAGCGTGTGCTGTCCAGACAGTTTATAGTTAATTGGGAATTGGCATAGTTAGGAATTGGGAGCTGTCCCCTTAAGAGAATGCATCATGATAAATGTAGTTAAGGTATCCTGGGAAATGTAGTCCATGTCATGTGGCCACATCTGTAATCCTGATTGGTCACTGAATTGACCCTTGGTTGGGTTGTGGGAGGTTCCAGCACTCTTGCCTGAACCCAGGATTGTGCTGGCATCTCACCTCCTTACTCTTTGGATATGGGATGAAAGATTACCATCCTTTTACACCAGAAAGTCAGCTCTGCAAAGAGTTGGACATTGAGATGAATCTCGATGTAACCGTGAGTTATATATGAGGATGCCTGATGAACCAATAGAGAGATTTTGTATGGATGCCTTTGTGGAGTAAGTCAATCTGCCTTAAATTCAGCTGGTAATTATAAAGGACAGAACAAAATGCCTTCTGTATTTAAAATTGTTGGAGATTTGGGTTTTAAACACTGAAAGGGACTCCCAAGATGAAGTCAGAACTGCTTGTTTCTAGGGAGATAAATCCAAAGATTAGAAACTGAGATTCTGGGCTTTTCCTTCATGGTCTGTGGCTGCCACAAACACTTGGGGCAGAATGGTTTCTCTCAAAACTTTGCAAAAAAATTCAATCTCGCGCCCTCACCTTTAACTACTTTAGATCAGCTTTCCAGACTCAGATATTTGCAGATTCCCAGAATCCTGCCAATGTTTAAAGAGTCATTTTTAATCTTAAGAGCACTTACTTATATACCACTTCACGGTGCTTTTACAGCCCTCTCTAAGCGGTTTACAGAATCAGCATATGCTGTACTTAACTTCCCGTTAAAAGGAAGTTGAAACCGTGTTGGTTTTGATGACCCAGTGTTCAGCCATTTTGTACCTGTACGTTTTAGCAGTTCTTTAGCAATTTTAATGTTTTATGGAAGCTTGCTCAGTAACAACCACAATACTTGCAAATCATTCACCCAGCTGAACTGAGAGATTAGGTTCATGACATCTACATCAGAATAAAGGTAGTCCTCGATTTACAACAGCACTGAAAAACGTGGCTTATGACCATTTTTCAAACTTATGACCTTTGAAGCATCCCCATGGTCATGTGATTTACAGATGCTTCACAACTGATTCACATTTATGACGGTTGCAGTGTCCCAGGGTCTATTATGGTACCTGGATAAGAACAATCTTTTGGGTGGAGCTTGATGCATTTCCTCTAGTCTTACCAGTTTTTGTGTGAAATGCATGCTGGGAGAGTATCAGCAAAGTTCCATTACATGAATTGTCATTTCCCATTTGCCAGACAGCAAGCCATAAACATGACTTGGGGATGGCAGCCAATCAGAGTTTTGGAAATGCCTTCTGCATGTTCTGTGATTGACACTGTTGCTTTTGTAACAGTGGTCTTAATTTCTAACTTTTTGAGGGCTGAAAACCAGAAAAGGCATGAGAGTGGTGTGACTCATCCCATAAATCCTGTGATTTATGTGCTTGTGTCAGATGTTTGGACACAAGTACATAAGGGTGACATTTGTTTGATTACTTCAACATGTATGTGTGTCCTCATTTTGCCATCATTGTGGTTTTCTTTAGATACCTCTTCTGGGAACTACTCCACTTGGACAGGTTTTGGGTATTTGCATAACATGAATTGTCTGTTCTGAATTAATTCTTTTCTCCCTTATTGCTGACTGCATATTTTTATTACATTATTATCTCATTGCAAGAGAGAGACAGAAACCAATAGAAACCTAGAGCACTATATAAAATTAACAAATAGAATCAATACAAAAAATATACTTTTATAAAAATGCATTTTAAAATGAATAAATAATAGGATAACAGAATTGGAAGGGACCTTGGAGATCTTCTAGTCCAACCCCTCACTCAAGCAACAGGACCTATACCATTCAGGACAAACGGATATTCAATCTCTTCTTGAAAACCTTCAGTGATGGAACACCCACAATTTCTCAAGGCAAGCCATTTCACTGATTGCACTGTTAGGAAATTTCTCTTAAATCTGGGTTGGATCTTCCATTCATTACTTCTTATCCTGCTCTCAGGTGCTTTAGAGAATAAGTTGATCTTCTCTTTCTGACTGGCCCTCAGTATTGGAAGACTTATCAGGTCACCCCTGGTCCTTCTCTTTGTTAGACTAGATATATCAGTTCCTGCCACTGTTCATTGTATGGTTTTACCTCCAGTCACTTGCTCAAAAAATCCAAAATTCTTCATAAACTAATATATTCCAGGTTTTGAGCACACACATTCAACACCACACTCTTCCTAAAATCATCTTATAATACAAGTATTACATCAAACAGGACAACTATAGAACAAGTTTACATTATCTCAAATTTTCAGCAATGAGAAGTTGACATCCAGCCCTTTCTAAACATTTGCTCAGATATCCAACATGCATAGAAAATAATCTCTTGGTATTCACATAACAGACATATTAATCCTGTAAGATTCAGGTTTTGCATATAATGCAAATTCAGATATTCTTGTCTTGATAAAATAGAAGTTCAGCTTCATGTACACAGTCCTGTTTCCCACAGATATTAGGTACAGATAGTTGTCACATTACAACTGATTGTTTAACGTGTAAAGTTACAATGCCTTTGGAAAGGGTGTTCTATGACTGTAAAGCACTTCCAGATGTCATAAAATGTCATGCCACTCACCCATCCCCTCTGGTCACATGATCAACAATCTGGTATTTAGCAACCTGTTTGTATTTACAACCATTTGCCAAATGCCCTGCAATCGTGATCACGTGATAAAAAAAAAAGCTGTGGTGGTGCAGTGGTTAGAATGCAGTATTGCATGCTAATTCTGCTAACTGCCAGCAGTTCGATTCTTACCAGCTCAAGGTTGACTCAGCCTTCCGAGGTTGGTAAAATGAGGACCCAGATTGTTGGGAGCACTATGGCGACTCTGTAAAAACAGCTTAGAGGGAGCTGTAAGACACTGTGGAGTGGTATATAAGTCTAAGTGCTATTACTATCACCATTTGCAATCTTCTCTGTTGGCTTCTCCAGAAAGTCAGTAGGAAAGTGGAAGGAAAGGTTGCAATTTGCTGCTGCCTGTTAAAGGAATACCTCTTGTCTGGGGGCATTGGGGATGGGGGAGGCAGCAAAAGGCAATCTGTGCTCTGGGGGAAGACTATCTCACTCCATATGGACTTGACGTTCCTTCCTGACAGGGCAGCTCTTCGAAAGGGATTCCCTCAAATCCACCAAAAAAATTCCCCTCTTCTCCATTCACTGAGGGGAGAATCCTTTGTTGGGCTGTAGGAATGGAGTTAAACACTGAAGGAATTTCATCATGTCTGTGCAGTCCAGGGAAAGATTTCCCCCCAGTGGAGGAGAGGAGTAGCTTTGTCAGACTGTAGGAAGACCTAAAATCTGGAAGATTTCAGCCACATTATTTCAGTTTGATGAATAATCCCCCCCCCCCCCCCCAAACTGCTTCACCCAATATCAGAGATTGTGGTACAGTGTTATCTACGTATCAGATAAAAGCAAAGTGAAAATCTACATATTTTCCCTGTACCCTTGGATGCCACAAAAGTATATTGTAGAAGCTGGGACAATCTGTAGATTAAATTAGCACAAAGTACATTAAAAACTCTTTATCATGGCACACACTGTACTTTAACAAAGTTTAATAATAAATAAGTCTGCATACGCTTGATCTGGAACACCAAAATATTTTTTTTCAGATTCTCCATAAATTCTTCTGGTATATATTACTAAATCATCAATTATAATTAATCTGCCTACTGCAGAACAATCCTATTGATGAACCAAAAGCCTGTTGATGGTGCTTTATTAAAAATGAGAAAGGAGCACCATTTTCCAACTTCTTTGACATTAAAAGAAAGCACTCTGAGCAATTTAAGGAAATAGTAGAAAAATTGGATTTTTTAAAATTAAAAGGTGGCAATGGCAAATAATTTCTAGCCAAGAGTATCTGCAAAAGTATCTCAAATAATCACTAAGGGTTCAGCCAGACTGAAGGACATATTTAGCTTTATGTAACTGGGGTAGATGTTGGAGAAGCATAAAATATTTAGTTCTTGTGTATTCAGCACCTTTAATATTCTGTTATCCAAGAGGGGCTTAAGCTTATAAATTTTGAGGTGGTAAATAAAAGTTCTTAGGGCTGTCATAGTAGATACATGTATATTAGATCCGCATCCCTTTTAGTTATAATTACCAGATGTGATATGCGGCTGGGTTCAAGCTGTTGTAAATTCCTCCTTTTATAGCTACAGTAAACTCCAGTTTCAAAGCAGCTTGAAGGAAGTGGAGTTTCAGAAGTCTCCCAGGTTAAGGTACACTACTGAGATGGCTTTGATTGTTCTTGTGGATGATTTCAGGCTGATCTGGAATCGGGTCCTATTTGATCTCTCAGTGATCATCTATCCTTCCGGATAGGTTCAAGGGGTTGTGAAAAGAGGGCACCATCAGACCTGCTCCAACTTAAGACATTTAGGAAAGAAAGACCTGACACCTGATTTCAGCAGTTTCTTATCTTCGTGGTTTGTAGTGGGAGAGAGGCCTTCACTTTATTAGTGAACAAAGTTCAACGCATGAATAGAATAGTTGCCCATGATTCCAAAAATGCTGCTTCTAAAGTACAGCTCTTTATTACATTTATGCATTAACATTATGCCCAGCTGTTACTTGAAAAGAACTTTTAAATCCTGTATTTGAAATGTGATACTTATGGAGGTAGAAGGGCCCAAAGGCAGAACATAAGTAGAGACTTCTCCTATCAAGTCCCTTAATTTCAAGTGAATGTATTTTTTTTTGTATCATTCTGAACCTACAGACATGGTTTTACATACAAAGTAAATGGAATAGACACTTTGTAACCAGAGGTTAATAACACAAGTGCCAAATCGATCTGGCAAAGTTAATACACTCCGGGTTCCTTTAATTAAGCACTGTCAACCATCAGGACACCAAACTGCCTGTCATCTGGAATGGGCTCCCCCCCACCATCTGAGGCTCCTACTCTGCTCGTAGTTTGAAAGGGGCCTGAAGACTGGGCTCTACTAGGCCTTAGTAAGGATGACTGAAGCCTCCCTTTAAGCTATTTTGTTTCCACCCAATTTGTTATTCTGCCATCTCCAGCCCTTTTTTGTGCCTTGCTTTTATTGTTTTCATGTTTTAAAATCATTTGCAAACTGACCAGTGTCTGTGGAAATTCAATGGAATATAATTTTGATAAATAATAAAATAGCAGAATCCTACAATCTGCATCAATTCCTATTTTGGTTAATCCAGAAAAAAACAGGAAGTCGTGATTCATGAAGATCAAGGTTATATTTTTTTCACATTTGAAACATTTTTTAAATCAAAGTACAATATTCAGGGTATAAAGTATTCAAGAACCTTTGTTCTTTTGTTGGACTCTGACTGAATAATGGACCTAGAATTCTGAACATAAGATGCCCAATTCAAAAGCAATAAAAATGCTAGTTTTCCAAATATCATTCTTGTAGTCCTGTAACATTTTACACTGAGTCCATTAGAAAACTACATAAGTAAACAAATGTAATGGTTACTAATCACTTTTGGTGCCAAAGAGTAAAACAATTTATCTTCTTGTATTGATTGGTAACATATTAGGGCACTAATGTATTGGATCTAAACAACTGTGCTATACTGAGGGCAAGTGACCTGAAGGCTTTCTGTATAACCTTTAACCTCTATAAATCCAGAGGGAACAGGGCTTATGCAATCATCAAATTTCCTGTACAGCACAATTTATAGTTTTTCCTGCATTCGTTTAGTGAATAATGGCACACTACTTACATTTATGCCATTGATTTTACATACACTGAATCAATAATGCTTACGGGGCAAAACCTTCTATTGGCTCAAAGACTACGACAGACTTTTTAAAGCAATATTAGATGCTGAATGTTGTCTTCTTCCTTTCTATGCAGCTTAAATTATTCCAACTTTTTAATCATTTTTTTCTTCCATTTATGTAGTGGAATCTTCCTCAGTCTATTCAATCATAGAAGTTAAGATGCAGAAGGGATCACCTAGTCCACGAATGTCAAACTTATGGCGTCACATTGCCATCATGTGATGGTTTTGTGACTTTTTTCCCTTTGCGGAGCTGGGGTGGGCGTGGCCTACACATGATGCACCTGGCCCATGGGCCACCAGTTTAACACCTGACCTAGTCCAACCCTCTATCCAGTATAGGAACCTATTACTACAGCATCCTTGTCTGCTTGTATACTTCCAGCAAAGGAGATACCACTTCTCAAAGCAGCTCCATTGTTTAATAGTTGGTATGATCAGGAAATTTGCTCCAATGCCCAACTGAAATCTACTTCCTTGAAATTTAAACTCACTACTTTTCCACCTGGCTTCTGGAAAAACACTGAACATTTCTCTCCACAGCCCATCAGATATTTGAAGACAGCTATCATGCCTCCATAGAACACTTCTGCTGGTTGACCATACAGACTCCTCCCAACCATTCCTCATGTGTTTTCCACCCGGATCGTTTATCAGCTGCTGTGCTCTGGACATTCTGAAAGTGATAAACATCCTTCCTAAAATAGTGTCCCAAACTGCTGGCAACGTTTGAAAGCAATCTGATCAAAACAGAATGAGTTCTGTTGATCTTGACACTATCTCCCTGTTGAAACAACATAGGGTAGCATTTGTGTTTTTCACATCTCCATAAAGTGCTGATTCATGTTCCTCTTAAGACCAAGACTGTGAAATCCTTTTGTACGTATTGGTGTCCTCTTCCAGTCTGTGTATTCATGCCTTTGCCTTTTTCCCATCAAATGTTAAGACTTTTGCATATTTCTCAGTTGAATTCAACTTGGTTTCTGAACAGCTTGTGAAGATCTTGCTGAAACCTGGTTCTTTTCTCTAAAGCATGTGCTCATTCACTCTCTCCCCCTCACCCAGTATTTATAGTTTGCGAATTCAACAATCATATTTTAAACTCTTCATTTATTAAATTCCCCATCAAAGACACAAATGCTCTGTGCTGAAGAAGGTAGTGTTACTACTGGTGGTACAGCCCTAATGTTTCCTCCTGCCCTAATGTAAAATTTATATACACACACTCATACCCATACATGAAGAATAATTTTACACTCCTATTACCATATTCATATTTGGAATTTCTTGGCCTCCTAAAATGACAGATTGTTAGAAGGCGAACAAAACAATTGCCAATGAAAAGAAAAAGCCAAATTATGTTTAAGGTATTGTATTTGTCATGATTGCCTATAATTTAAATACAACTCTAAAAAGAAACAATGTTCATCAATAGTTTTGAATCACCATCACCATATTTCTCCTTAGAGGTTATCTAGTTTAAAGATAGATTGTGGTAGATTTTGTAACCCATGCTGAACTCTTCTCTATGCTTCTGATATCCAACTATTTTTTTCACAGCAATTGAAATTAGAGGACATTCCAAAATGTATTACATTATATAAAAAAGCCTTAATAGTTTTTGAAAAAGGAAAAATTGTATTTCCCTTCTCTTAAACCTAAAAAATCCTCATTATATTGCAGCCCTTGGAGCCAACAAAATGCCTCAGTGAAAATAGGGTGGCCTAGTCCTGTCCTTTGTGAAAACCATGCTAAGGAATAAAAATAACCCAACAATTCTTCTTCTCTTTGCCCTTTTTTTTCTTAGCGAGAACACTAATGTGGGTTGTCATCCTTCTGCATCTCCTATAAAAGCTTGGCATGAAAAATTACAGTTTTCTTTCCAAATATGTATCTTTTCTGACATTTATAAATTGTGGATAAAAAGCTTTTCATAATATGATAAACTGCATGTACCAAATGCTCTTCCTCATGAACCAGTTTCTGATCAAAATGTGTTTAGCAGCAAATGAACCATGTGGAAATCACAGAGTATTTGTCAACAGGAAACCAGAGCCCACACACTGACAGCATCCAATCCATGCAGAAAAGTCTTTACAATGAAGTATAACAATGATGATCACATACCTAGGAAAACATGCTCCCACCAGAACCTATGAGCAATTGCAGCAGATTAAGTGTAAATATTATCTAAGCTGAGCTAAACTACAGTTGTATTCCTATGATTCTGCATAGGAAGAATCATATGTAAGACAAATGGAAGTTATTATTTTGGGAAAAATAAAAACAAACTAAAGCACTTTCCCTCTAGCTTTCATATACTTCAGTTTAGCTCAGCTCACTATGCAGAAAACATCCCAAGACCTTTTGTAATGTGTGGCAAATTCTTAGTTAGCTACCCATATCACAAGTTGGCATACATCATGTCGAGAACTCTTAGACATTTTAATTAAGCCTCTACTTAATTTGAAATAGGAAAGCAACGTTTCCAATATTTCTGTACAACACCCTTTTTTTGGAACAATCACATAAATATGAATTGCAAAAATAAAACAACTACAAACCCTTAATATAACTTTTGCTTGCAATCAAGTGGCAAGACTAAAGCTTTTTAATATTGTGCCATTAAAGTGAATCCCAAGAAAGTATTTTTGCTCTTCTTATTCTAGAAGAGATAGAAGAACAAGAGAAGCAAAGCACTTGAAGGGCCAGTGCCCACTTTATCATGATCACCATCTCTTTCTTACTAGGTACTAGGAGGAGAGTCCTGCAAAGTGGGAGTAAGCAGTATTCTAGGAAGTGACTCTTGCACAAACCAACTGCCATCCATCCTGACAGCACTGCCATACTACATTAAGCAATACTATGACTCAGGATTTATTCAATTTTAGTTTATCAGAATTGCTTAACTGCAACTTATTTGACAAGATAATTAAATGTTCTTCATGGAAGATATGAATTCTACCACTTTACAATTTAACTGGCACAATAAGTTACGTTTATGCAAGCATAAACAAGTGCCCAAGTTGGCTTCGTTCATTTAATTCAATGAATTATTCTGAGGAGCAGAGTAAGCATCAACATTACATATTAACTAAATTAAAGAGACAGATAAAGCAAATAATCTGCCATTCCCATTTAATAGAAGGAAATGTAATGACCAACAAACTTTTGTTCAGTAATTTTGCTTTCTAGAGCACCAAGCTTTTCACTGCCGCAAAACAGAAGCTACTACCTAAGGACAAAACAGAGTTAGGATCCCAAAAATCTGAGAAACCAGTTCTTTTCATTTTGGTCTCTTTGTTAATTTGAAATTATACTTTATAAGTAACATTTCTTTAACCTAATTCCTTTAAGAACTATTTTTCTGTTAGCCACGTGACCATTTTTAGAAATACAATTAGGACCTTCAGATGTTATCTTATGGGTCATCTGAAATTTTGAACACCACATTTGAAATGGCACTCTCTATCAAACAAAGTCAGGTCTGTCTTGTAAAGTTAAATCAAAACATACCCATATTAAAATGTATGGTGCAATCTACTGGCATTGCCCTATTGCAATTGCTTCTTCAGAGGCAATTTTTCTTTAGCTCATGTGCCCTATGTGGAGACTGGCTCTACAGATTTGTGGCTTCCCCAGTAGATTTTTAAGGAAAGTGGAGACCCCAAAAATAGAAATAGTTCCAAACTCTGATGATCATGGCATTTATAATGCCCAATTCTGCTCAAGTGACATATAACAAACCAATTGTACTCTTAGAAATGTGGCTTCCAATCTCTATAGATAACTCTGAAACTGTTGAAAAAAAAATCCTTGTTACACCTGATGTTAGGAGCAGACTTTCACTATTACATGAATTGGCCTTTCCCCACATCCTTTGCATATTTGTTCTCCAGAACCTATCAACTTCTGGAGTAAATCTGGGAGCACATATTGGCTAAGTCCGAGTCAATGACGTTCAATGACCAGTTGACTAACATAATTTAATTCAATAGTAAATATGGTCTCTATACATTTCTATCATATACAGTAGTTTCTCCCTTTATCACATAAGTTTCTTTCTCAAAATCATGAGTGGAAAACCTATACTTAGCAACTGTTCTCTGGCAGGCCACTATCATATAATGTGAACATTGGATAAAAACATAAAATTGGCTAGCTTCCACAAGGAGAAATATAGAAACAGGGCACAAGAATTTTTGTTCTTGTTAAGTTTATTGGCGTGTTCTTTACAGAAGAGTTCTGGCTACATATTAGAATGTAGATCTCAGGGTGGTTGTTTTTTTGGGGGGGGGGGGGGGATATAGAAATGCTGCATTCAAGAAAACTACAAATGCAAGGATAAATAAGAGGGCAGAACAAAATGGCCACGGTAAACGTTAGATGTAATCCAGACAAGGGATGTGAGGAGGAGGAGAGGGAGGAGGAGGAGGAGGAAAGGACGCTTGGCCATTAAAAGTGACTGTCACTACCCAGGTGGAGCTATATCTGTATGAGTCGGACGTTTCATATTAAAATTCCTCTTCACACATTTGTAGAGTAACTGTTAAGGGGGTTAAAAGGAAACAAAGCAATCATTTTGAAAACTGTATTTAATTTCTGAAGTCCAATAGTCCGGCACGCAAAATCATGCATTTGAAAATTTTTCACTACAAATAAGCCAGGTAATATTTTTCAAAGAGATGAAGCTTTTTGGCTCTTAAATCAATAAAAATGTTTACATAATTCTTGCTTCTACTGTACAGAATACTGTCTCTATTTGGACTTGTGCTGCTAGCACGCTGCATTTCACAAGTGTCCTGTTCATTTCCTAAACAGCTTGTGTTTCAGTACTTAAACATGTAATTCAAGAATTTTACACTAATTTATACATTTAATCGGTTGCATATATTAACATGTACTATAAGATTCTTTTTCCTAAAGAAGCCATTACATAATATGTGGATACTGTAAAAAGATCTGATTAGTTAAAAGTAACAAGCATTAACAGATACATACAAAACTCAACCTAGTGGGACTGAGTGCTGAGCTTGCAATGAACTATGAGTAATCAGCCTTCCCAGCTGCTGCCGCCTTCACAGGGGAAACACAAGACAATTAAAGGGAAATCGTTACAGTGTATCTGTACACAGTTTCTTTCCAAGGGACATCTGGATGTAGCTTAAGTTCCAAATGTAAGAGGTTCCTTTTTAATAACTAGAGGATAAAGGTCTGCTACCATAAAAATGTAATGGGATGCAAGGATACTGATGA